CCAATAAGCCGGCGCATTTGATCGCTGTACACATGTCGGAACAAAATTTACTTTTATAGTATCCTAACTTTCTTTGGCTCTTCTTATCTAACTTTATTTTTATACTATGCACCATGATCACTTCACAAACCGTTGTTTCAGTTTTCAGTAAAACCTTAGGCACCGGAGAACGCAACCAGTAAAACTTGGGAAGGTTGGTTTACGTCTCCGAAAGTCCCTCAAACAGCGATTCCACCGGCTTATTGAGTTTCCGTATAATGTGCATGGAAGAACTGAAACTCACTTTCAAAGTAAGTCCGATCGCCACAGTGCGAAGGGCAGTTAGTTTTAAGTTGTTTAAGGATCCTTCAGAATTGAGAACAAAATAAAACACGGCAACGATGCTGCTTTCCAGATACGCAAAGATCATGCACACGCTAATGTAGAAAACGTAACGCGTGACAAACTTTTGCTTGTTTAAAATGATTACGAAAAGCAGATTCAACATTGTGCAAACGGTGTTGTAACATGCGAAAAAGACAAAATGGTATGTTGAGGTACATAAAGGGACCACTACAGCTAAAACCAGCAAAGAAATATTTGAAGCAAACCAGTCGCTACGAATAAGTTTTAAAACATTGATAGGAACAACCCAAGTAGAAGTACAAGCTAACCGACTGTACAGTAAGAAACAAAATATCTGAATAGGTGACCACATAAAAACAATTACACCTAACGCAATAAATCCGTTTACGTCCATGAGCAATAATTTGTCTTGCAGGTCGGAGAGGAAGGATTTTACTCCGGAATCTATTAAAACCCCATGGAATGCAATGTGATCAAATCTAAAAAACGAGTAATCTCCACTAGATATTCCAATCGGAAGAGCTGCAATGATAAGTATTAAGTAACAAAAACACAATACCCCTTTGTAAAAGAACTTTTTCAAACTTTTGACCCTTCCAATGCGTCGGGGTTGTCTTGTATATTCAACGTCAAGTAACGGTTGTTCCTCGCAGCTTCTTTGGCTAAAAGAAGAGCCTTGGTAATTTGGGGGCAAAAGTTGACGTGACTCCTCAGTTCCATTTTCACCTTCTTCCATGGTTCGAATTTCACTTTCGTTTTCAGTGGTTCGCTCTTCCGCTTCTCGTTGATCATCTTGACTGTCAGAAATCCAACAAAATTTCCTTGTACGTCTCATCCACTCGAGTGTAATTAAAGGGCCAATAAGAAACCAAAAATATAGTCTCTTTAAGTAAGATTTCATTTTCGTCAGTTCATTTGTATAGGCGAAAATGTCAACATAAGTTAGATCTGCATTCGAAAGTGTTGAATACCATGAATAATCAGGCGGCTGGTCCGTCATGTCCTCAATTGCCACTGGAATTAACACTTTGTTCTTGCTGTTCTTCACTGTCGCTATGGCATAAGATGCGGCAAAATATATCAGCACAGAATAACTTGCATTCTGTACATTTCCAGCAAGATCTTGTAACGTACATGTAGATTCATTCACAAGGGTGACAAGAGCTATCTTGGGGACTTGAGCCTTTACTTTGCTTACATCGTCCAGCGTTTGACATGCATTTGTGAGGTTCAAATACACAGCGAAACATTTCACTGAATTGCCTGTTTTTGATGCCCGAATAAAGGACTTGATACTGGGGGACTTAAGTTCAGCTGTAAGTTCCTTTGAATAAGAGTTATTAGTGTCATAAGGAAATCCCGTTTCCCCCTGCACTGACGACAGAATCAAGGCAAATTCTCTATTGTCAAAAAATGTCGACATGTTGCTATACGGGATGCCGCCTATATAGTAATACCATGGAAATCCTACCCCTGTGGTTAAAATAATAAAGGATACGAGTAGGAAGCAAATGCAGCTGCTGATTACGAAGCACTTTCGCGACATCTTTGTAACGAGAAAAAGATGTTACTGGAGACAGAAAGAGCATTATGTTTAGCCGTAGCGTGATCATGAGATCATGCTCTCTCCCTATTATCCCTTTAAGTCTATCACGGGAAGAGGGCATGATACATTTGTTTGTCGGATCACATGTAAAAAAGCCAGAATCTGGACGTTTTTCTGATTGGATAGGAAACAATACGGATGACTTGCGCTGTTCAAATTGGCCAAATGCCGCCATCCGTTAACTTTTCAATGTAAAACAGAGTGAGATCTGGGTACGAGATTAGCCATCCGTTAGTTGTTGTTGATTTCAGTCTGCATTTTTGCTTGCGTCATGAGCAGTACACACGCGAGTTCGTTATAAAATTTCTGCCGGCTCAGTTTTCTTGAATTTGAAGAATGCCTAAATAGAAATTTCATCCACTGAAATATTTTCCATCTCATCGTATACTAAAAAGTTGCAGTCAAAAATTCACCGATCATTTGAATGCAATTTGATACCGGCTACAAGTTACAGAAGCGACAAACGGGTTCCCTTTTAAAATAATCAATTCATGAATGGAACAGGGACACTCAACGAGAATATAGTTCAAAACCAGTTAAACATAGCATTGTTAAACGAATTCTAGTTTTTTAACAGTAGATATAGGCATATTTTTATCCCCTAAAATTTTTTCATCTGTTCGGATTTCGTAGCTGAAAGTCTAGTGATCCAAAAATTATAGAGATCAAAACTTACCTTTTCGAAAATTTCAGCCAGAAAAAAGACTCCCGAAAATTCTAGGTGACCTTTTTAGGGTAAAAATCCGTAAAAAATGGGCAATTATACTATCGGAAGAGGAAAGAGAGAAGACCACTGGTAGAAACTGTTTTTTCTTTTTTTCTTGCTTTTTTCGCTATTTTTTAGTTTTTATTTGGAATTTTCATTTTACAGAGTACACTCACTGAATCTAACAAGGAAAAGGCAAAAACAAAAAGAAATAAAACCAAATAAAAGAAATAAAAATAGAAAATAGTCACACCTACTACCTAAACCTAAACTGCAAACCATTATCTAAGTCGATAGAAAATACAACATCTTTACATTTACATACAATATTCAATTGTTAAGACGATTGATTAACTTTTCCCAGTTACTAAGATGGCCCTTTTTCCTGGCAATATAAAGTTCAATGTTGGTAAATACGCCTAGTCCTGGAGATGAATCACCGAAGGGAGGGCATACCCTTTTGAGATTTTTGTTAATAAATATATTAATACTTCCCAAGTAGTAAACTGTGATTGATTAACTTCTTTAACATCAAATTTATCGAAGATTGTATCCTCTTTTTTTAAGTTCTCAACAATGATATTATCATCTTGCAACCAGGACAATACAATACAACACAATACAATATTCTTTATTTAACGAAGGTAAAGTAATAAGCCAATGAGTTATCTAACTTACGGCCTTCACAACAATACAAAATACAGATATAAAAACAATGCCTAATCAGTAATATACGACTACAACAAGAAAAAAAATAGAACTAGACAAATGTAAAGCAATTTATCTGATTCAACCACGTCAAAACTAAAAAGTTTCTCGTTTGTATTAAAATTCCGCAATACAGTTCACTTTGAACCGAAATTCCTTAAGTTTGGACTCTAACGCTATATGCTGGGAAAGATAGCAAGTAAACTCTTTTCCAATCAACAGTTAATGCCAGATCCGCTTTCAAGATGGCGGATGATTAATGGCGGACTAAGGTGAAATTTGAAACTTGGAAAATAGGCCATTTCATCGGGCCTATTTGACCAAGAAGTACCTTGCCGTCATGTGCCCTTTCTTTTCCTCCTTCCCATCACCCCTCGCGCTTCTTCGGTCGCGTTTGCGATCCAAATGGAGACGAACGGGGACGAGTCAGAGCCGAGAGAGCTTAGCCTGTTCCAGGCTCTCACATAGTGTTCGCACTTTCTCAATTTCACGGATCCGACTATCTCGGAGCCTGGAACAGGTTTTCCGGGGGAGCGCTGAGAGTCGGAAATGGTCGGTCACAATCATAAAAAACAGACACCCTTTTGGTCTGTATGTTTTGTTTCCTCTTCAGGTCACGTGATGTTCTTTAGGCAATTTGCTTTTTGTCCTTTCATAAATTTTACTCACATATGCGCGTATTTAAAAGAAATTTGAAAGAAACAATTCTCTGGGGTAACATCACGTGGCATGAAACGGGTTAACAAACCATACAAGCTAAAAAGGCCTATTGAAAGGCTCGGAGTTAGGAACTGAAGCTGGACCCTTTTAGGACTTCTAAAATACAGTCAAACGTCTTTAATAAGGACACCAAAGGGACAGAACCAAGTGTCCGCTTTATGGAGGCGTCCGTACTATAGATGTAGGGAACGGTATAATTTTTGGCATTTCGAGGACCAAACGAACTGTCCGTATAATAGAGGCGTCCGTAAGGAGAGGTTAGACTGTATGCTTTAACGGCTCTTGATTGGAAATCGACTGATTAAATTTAGAAATTATAACCGCCCAATAAGCCGGCGCATTTGATCGCTGTACACATGTCGGAGCAAAATTTACTTCTATAGTATCCTAACTTTTTTTGGTCTTCTTATCTAACTTTATGTCTATACTAAGTACTATGATCACGTTACAAACCGTTGTTTCAGTTTCCAGTAAAACCGTAGACACCGGAGAACTCAATCAGTAAAACTTGGGATCGTTGGTTTACTTCTCCGAAAGTCCCTCAAACAGCGATTCCTCCGGCTTATTGAGTTTCCGTATGATGTGCATGGAAGAACTGAAACTCACTTTCAAAGTAAGTCCGATCGCCACAGTGCGAAGGGCAGTTAGTTTTAAGTTGTTTAAGGATCCTTCAGAATTGAGAACAAAATAAAACACGGCAACAATGCTGCTTTCCAGATACGCAAAGATCATGCACACGCTAATGTAGAAAACGTAACGCGTGACAAACTTGTGCTTGTTTAAAATGATTACGAAAAGCAGATTACACATTGTGCAAACGGTGTTGTAAGATGCGAAATCGACAAAATTGTATGTTGAGGTACATAAAGGGACCACTACAGCTAAAACCAGCAAAGAAATATTCGAAGCAAACCAGTCGCTACGAATAAGTTTTAAAACATTGATAGGAACAACCCAAGTGGAAGTACAAGCTAACCGACTGTACAGTAAGAAACAAAATATCTGAATAGGTGACCACAGAAAAACAATTATAGCAAACGCAAGACATCCGTTTAAGTCCGTCTGGCATAATTTGTGTTGCAGGTCGGAGAGGAAGGATATTACTCCGGAATCTCTCAAAAACCCGGGGAATGCACTGTGATCAAATCTAAAAAACGAGTAATCTCCAATAGATATTGCAATCGGAAGAGCTGCAATGATAAGTATTAGGTAACAAAAACACAATACCCCTTTGTAAAAGAACTTTTTCAAACTTTTGACCCTTCCAATGCGTCGGGGTTGTCTTGTATATTCAGCGTCAAGTAACGGTTGTTCCTCGCAGCTTCTTTGGTTAACAGAAGAGCCTTGGTAATTTGGGGGCAAAAGTTGACGTGACTCCTCAGTTCCATTTTCACCTTCTTCCATGGTTCGAATTTCACTTTCGTTTTCAGTTGTTCGCTCTTCCGCCTCTCGTTGATCATCTTGACTGTCAGACATCCAACAAAATTTCCTTGTACGTCTCATCCACTCGAGTGTAATTAAAGGGCCAATAAGAAACCAAAAATATAGTCTCTTTAAGTAAGATTTCATTTTCGTCAGTTCATCTGTATAGGCGAAAATGTCAACATAAGTTAGATCTGTATTCGAAAGTGTTGAATACCATGAATAATCAGGCGGCTGGTCCGTCATGTCCTCAATTGCCACTGGAATTAACACTTTGTTCTTACTTATGTTCTTCACTATCGCCATGGCATGAGATGCGGCAAAATATATCAGCACAGAATAACCTGCATTCTGTACATTTCCGGCAAGCTCTTGTAACGTACATGTAGATTCATTCACAAGGGTGATAAGAGCTATCTTGGGTACTTGAGCCTTTACTTTGCTTACATCGTCCAGCGTTTGACATGCATTTGTGAGGTTCAAATACACAGCCAGACATTTCACTGAATTGCTTGTTGTTGATGCCCGAATAAAGGACTCGACACTGGGGGACTTAAGTTCAGCTGTAAGTTCCTTTGAATAAGAGTTATTAGAGTAATGACGAAATCTCGTCTCCCCCTGCACTGGCCACAGAATCAAGACAAATTCTCCATTGTCAAAAACGTTCGGCATGCTGTCATACAGGTTGCCCATATATAACAATAGAAAACCTACACCTGCGGATAAAATAATAAAGGATACGACTAGGAAGCAAATGCAGCTGCCGATTACGAAGCACTTTCCCGACATCTTTGTAACGAGAACAAGATGTTGTTTGAGCATTATGTTTACCCGAGAAGGGTCTTCCGACTTCCGACTTCCGACTTCCGACTTCCGATTTCCGACTTCCTACTTCCAACTTCTGTAGCAATGAAAGGCGGTGGTAAGCCTGCATGACTTTTACGTTATACTAAAATGCTGCTTGTTCCAAAACCTTTTTTTTTTCCTGCTGCTGGGTAGATTATGCTGTAGAAGGTTCTGGTTAAGCCGCCTATTTCACATTGAGAGGTCATGGCACACATATCGATTTACTGTAGTTTTTGTTTCTGGTCGGCAGGATTTGCCCTCTTATGCAAGAGCATATTCTTTAAAGCTTTTTATTACGGCCGAGTAAGGGCTCTAATTTTCTCCAAAGTGCCTTCTGGACCTGAATAACTATGTGACTGTTTTTAGTCCGTGAACATGCAATGCTGTATCACGCTGGGCCCAGCTCGTTAGTTTTCTTTGCAGAATGTTAAATTATCACGGATAGTGATTTACAGATCCAAAGTGATAAGAATGAAGTGCAGCTTAAAATGAAGCTGCATCAACTATGGAGAATTGCATTGTGACTCAGTAGATTCCTGCTTAGGGTTTTTCTAAAGAAAATGTGAGTCTTTTGACTGGACCGCGTATTTCCTTACTTGGTTATAGCATTTTAATAAGCTTAACAGCGTTTGGACTGTTTTGTTATCAATGTTGCCACTTTGTGATCAGGCAAGACCATGGTTTCGGTTCCCCAAGCGAACCTCATCAGTTGCCTGATTGGCTTTGTGTTTAGTTGCTTTTACAAGAGCAACTTTAGTTGTCACGCTCTTTTGTGGCTAGATCGGTACAACCGTTCCTTCTACTGAGCCTTGACCTTAAGCATTAATACCCGCGTGGCGGATCGAGCGGCAATTGAGCCTGACAGAGGAGTCAGGTCGGAAGTCGGAAGTTAGAAGTCGGAAGTTGGAAGTGGCAAGTCGGAAGTCGGAAATCGGAAGTCGGAAGTCAGAAGTCGGAAGACCCTCCTTGGCTTTCGTAGTTTGGGGTTTCCCAGAAACACTTTTTTTTTAAATACCAATATAAATACCACTGACTTAATTATTTCATTCTTTTGTTCTTCAAATTTATTAAACTTGTGTTTCACACCTTCGTTCCCTATATATACTTTCATTTGCATTTGATAATGGGGACACGTCGTTGCCGAAACGTCATGTTTTAATAGCGTTGCTTTTTATCGTTAAATGTAGAAAATAAAATATTTGATTTGAATTGATATACAAAAATATAAAATTGAATTTAAAGAAAATAATTTAAATGAAACAGTTATGATACCGCAAAACATCCAAAAATACTCTAAAGAAATTTTAAATACTATGAAGAATGTGTATGGATTATTATGATTACATGAATTTAATAGAAGAAAATGAACTTGAAAGTTTATAATTAAGATTGAATGAAGATTAGGTTTATCCGTGTCTCCCTCCTCCGCAAAGCCCCTTTGTGTCCTAGGGAGCCCGGGGAGAGAGAAAAAAAGAAAGAGCGTTGGGGATTATGGGAGGAAAAGATTATTGCTGTTTTTATTGGAATACCCAGCGGGAGCCTCGATCTTAGGAGGAGCAGAGCATCGGTGCTGGAGCCCATGACCTGGAGTGTTAATTTCCCATATAAACCCTAGGAGACAAACTTTGCCCGTATCTTTTTACTTTTAGACGCTCAAATTCCCGCGAACGCTTTATTCCGTCCAATCAGAACAAACATATTGTATTACGTCACACCCAGTCACACACCAAGGGAGCAAGGGCGGCACAGCACAGTTGGTTAGTGCGCAGCCTTCGGTGCTGGAGGTTAAGAGTTATCCGAGTTCGGTGCCCGGTGACATAACATTCTTACTTCAACTTCTCTCCTTTCTGAGTAGCTTTGACTAGCTTTAAATACCCTTAAAACAGAGCATTGATGGTAGGGGGTGGTTATAATGAGCCGGCGCACCGTCCGACCTCGAGTTTGTCAGTTATTACTGTCATGAGTTATCCTCAAATTTGGAATGACATTCCTCTCTCACTTCGTAATTCACTTACTCTTTCTAGTTATAAACATAAACTGAGAGATTATTTTCAATCATTATAAGTTTAAACTAAGTTGAACTCAAATTTTTCTACCTTCAAACTCTTTTCTTTATTACTTTTTGCACACTATCATTAATTGTTATGTTTATTTTGCTTTATACGCAGTAACAATTCCTTATATGTTGTATTAGTTTGCCTTTTCTTTGTAAATCTTGTAATTAATTATTTATTCTCATTGAAACTTAGCAGCACATTGTAACTCTCTGACCTACGCCATATAAGCCTCTGGCTTTGGCATCTTATTATCGTTAACTTGTGCTTTGAGTACTTATTTATCAATAAAGAAAATAAAGAAATAAAGACATAAAATAAGGTTGCTTCACCTTTCACCTTTTTTACACAAGTAACACACACAAGACTTAACAGATTGTTTCTGGTTAATAACCAATTCTGGCGACAAAATTACTAAAACCTAGCCAGTACCAAACTTGCCCACTACCCATCATCAAATTGGGAACGCTTCGCATACTACAAACAATCCTTTTTCTTATATTCGTACTTTCTAATTTCTTATACACGCGGGAACTTCCATGATTCCTCCTCGAGTAGTCACGGGGGAGGTGAAATCTGTACCCCTCAAGTTTGTCACCGTAGTTTGCGTTTTATTTCTAATCAAGCTTCGTTGACCTAAGACGAACAGCATTTATGATATGTTAGACTTGTTCAAGACCTGAAGGTCACAAAGAATTACAAACATTCTGATAAGGGGGACAGGCCTAAAAGTATTTTTCACGGCCCTGCAGGTCTTATTTTATCACAGAGTAACATGGGGACTGTGTTCCCCGGGCTCCTTCTTTAACAAATACTATACATTACAGTTATGTTTGTCTTCAAAATATATGTATTATAAAAAGCGCTGTCGAACTCCACTCGAACCCTCATACTCACGCTGTACATCATGAAAACAACAGTTACTATCCACGACATTTCGTATCAGTGGCATATTCAGCTTTTACAAATGAACCCTTTTTCTTACTGCTTAGCCTTGGCTCGTTCCCAGTCATCTCTCGGTCTCCTATTGATATTCACGAGAGAAGCGCAGGGGACACAGAAGGGTGATGGGAAGGAGGAAAGACAGGAGACCACTGGTAGATCCTGTGTTTTCTTCTTTTCTTTCTTTTTTCGCTATTTTTTAGTTTTTATTTGGAATTTTCATTTTACAGAGTACACTTACTGAATCTAACAAGGAAAAACAAAAACAAAAAGAAATAAAACCAAATAAAAGAAATAAAAATAGCAAATAGTCACACCTACTACCTAAACCTAAACTGCACAAACAAGCAAACCATTATCTAAGTCTATAGAAAATACAACATCTTTACATTCAAATACAATATTCAATTGTTAAGACGATTGATTAACTTTTCCCAGTTACTTAGATGGCCCTTTTTCCTGGCAATATAAAGTTCAAAGTTGGTAAATACGCCTAGTCCTGGAAATGAATCACTGAAGGGAGGGCATACCCTTTTGACATTTTTGTTAATAAATATATTGATACTTCCCAAGTAGTAAGCCGTGATTGATTAACTTCTTTAACATCAAATTTATCGAAGATTGAATCCTCTTTTTTTAAGTTCTCAACAATCATATTATCATCTTGCAACCAGGACAATACAATACAATATTCTTTATTTAACGAAGGTGACGTAATAAGCCAATGAGTTATCTAACTTCTGGCCTTCACAACAATACAAAATACACATATAAAAACAATGCCTAATCAGTAATATACGACTACAGCAAGAGAAAAAATAGAACTAGACAAATGTATGGTTTAACATAGATATAAGATGATATAAACTAATTACCTTCTAATACAGTTACAAAGAGAAAAACGACAATCTTCAAGGCATGTTTTCAAAATCAGAGATGCTTTCCAGGAAAAGAGTAAATGCTCGATGGTTCAACCTCAGTTTGGCAGAAAGCACATTTATCTGATTCAACCACGTCAAAACTAAAAAGTTTCTCGTTTGTATTAAAATTCCGCAATATAGTTCATTTTGAACTGAAATTCCATAAGTTTGGATTCTAACGCTATACGCTAAGAAAGATAGCAAGTAAACTCTTTTCCAATCAATAGTTACTGGCAGATCCGCTTTCAAGATGGCGGATGATTAATGGAGGACTAAGGTGAAATTTGAAACTTGGAAAATGGGCCATTTCATCGGGCCTATTTGACCAAGAAGTACCTTGCCGTCATGTGCCCTTTCGTTTCCTCCTTCCCATCACCCCTCGCGCTTCTTCGGTCGCGTTTGCGATCCAAATGGAGAAAAACGGGCACGAGTCAGAGCCGAGAGAGCTTAGCCTGTTCCAGGCTCTCCCATAGTGTTCGCACTTTCTCAATTTCACGGACCCGACAATCTCGGAGCCTGGAACAGGCTTTCCGGGGGAGCGCTGAGAGTCGGAAATGGTTGGTTATAATCATGGAAAACAGACACCTTTTTGGTCTGTATGCTTTGCTTCCTCTTCAGGTCACGTGATGTTCTTTAGGTTCTTTCATAAATTGTACTTACATATGCGGTTATTTAAAGAAATTTGAAAGAAACAATTCTATGGGGTAACGTCACGTGGCATGAAATGGGTTAACAAACCATACAAGCTAAAAAGGCCCCTTGAAAGGCTCCGAGTTAGGAACTGAAGCTGGACCCTTTTAGGTCTTCTAAAACACAGTCAAACCTCTTTAATACGGACACCAAAGGGACAGAACCAAGTGTCCGCTTTACAGAGGTGTCCGTATTATAGATGTAGGGAACGGTATCATTTTTGGCATTTCGAGGACCGAACGAACTGTCCATATAATAGAGGTGTCCGTAAGGAGAGGTTAGACTGTATGCTTTAACGGCTCTTGATTGGAAATCGATTGATTAAATTTAGTAATTACAACCGCCCAATAAGCCGGCGCATTTGATCGCTGTACACATGTCAGAGCAAAATTTACTTCTATAGTATCCTAACTTTCTTTGGCTCTTCTGATTTAACTTTATTTTTATACTATGCACCATGATCACTTCACAAACCGTTGTTTCAGTTTTCAGTAAAACCGTAGACGCCGGAGAACGCAACCACTAAAACTTGGGAAGGTTGGTTTACGTCTCCGAAAGTCCCTCAAACAGCGATTCTACCGGCTTATTGAGTTTCCGTATGATGTGCATGGAAGAACTGAAACTCACTTTCAAAGTAAGTCCGATCGCCACAGTGCGAAGGGCAGTTAGTTTTAAGTTGTTTAAGGATCCTTCGGAATTGAGAACAAAATAAAACACGGCAACGATGCTGCTTTCCAGATACGCAAAAATCATACACACGCTTATGTAGAAAACGTAACGCGTGACAAACTTGTGCTTGTTTAAAATGATTACGAAAAGCAGATTACACATTGTGCAAACGGTGTTGTAACCTGCGAAAGCGACAAAATTGTATGTTGAGGTACATAAAGGGACCACTACAGCTAAAACCAGCAAAGAAATATTTGAAGCAAACCAGTCGCTACGAATAAGTTTTAAAACATTGATAGGAACAACCCAAGTGGAAGTACAAGCTAACCGACTGTACAGTAAGAAATAAAATATCTGAATAGGTGACCACAGAAAAACAATTAGAAGAAACGCAATACATCCGTATAAGTCCATGCGGCATAATTTTTGTTGCAGGTCGGAGAGGAAGGATATTACTCCGGAACCTCTTAAAACTGACACGGGGAATGCACTGTGATCAAATCTAAAAAACGAGTAACCTCCAATAGATATTCCAATCGGAAGAGCTGCAATGATAAGTATTAGGTAAGAAAAACACAATACCCCTTTGTAAATGAACTTTTTCAAACTTTTCACCCTTCCAATGCGTCGGGGTTGTCTTGTATATTCAACGTCAAGTAACGGTTGTTCCTCGCAGCTTCTTTGGTTAACAGAAGAGCCTTGGTAATTTGGGGGCAAAAGTTGACGTGACTCCTCAGTTCCATTTTCACCTTCTTCCATGGTTCGAATTTCACTTTCGTTTTCAGTTGTTCGCTCTTCCGCCTCTCGTTGATCATCTTGACTGTCAGACATCCAACAAAATTTCCTTGTACGCCTTATCCACTCGAGTGTAATTAAAGGGCCAATAAGAAACCAAAAATATAGTCTCTTTAAGTAAGATTTCATTTTCGTCAGTTCATCTGTATAGGCGAAAATTTCAACATAAGTTAGATCTGCATTCGAAAGTGTTGAATACCATGAATCATCAGTCCACGGTCCCGTCATGTCCTCAATTGCCACTGGAATTAACACTTCGTTCTTACTGTTGTTCACTGTCGCTATGGCATAAGATGCGGCAAAATATATCAGCACAGAATAACCTGCATTCTGTACATTTCCGGCAAGCTCTTGTAACGTACGTGTAGATTCATTCACAAGGGTGACAAGAGCTATCTTGGGGACTTGAGCCTTTACTTTGCTTACATCGTCCAGCGTTTGACATGCATTTGTGAGGTTCAAATACACAGCGAGACATTTCACTGAATTGCTTGTTGTTGATGCCCGAATAAAGGACTCGACACTGGGGGACTTAAGTTCATCTGTAAGTTCCTTTGGATAAGAGTTATTACAGGAATAAAGAAGATCCCCTTCCGCCTGCACTGACCACAGAATCAAGGTAAATTCTCCATTCTCAAAAACGCTCGGCATGCTGACAAACAGGTCGCATATAAATAACCATTGAAAACCGGTTGAAATAATAAACGATACGACTAGGAAGCAAATGCAGCTGCCGATTACGAAGCACTTTCCCGACATCTTTGTAAGGAGAACAAGATGTTGTTTGAGCATTATGTTTAGCCGAGGAGGGTCTTCCGACTTCTGACTTCCGACTTCTGACTTCCAACTTCCGATTTCCGACTTCCGACTTCCAACTTCTGTAGCAATGAAAGGCGGTGGTAAGCCTGCATGACTTTTACATTATGCTAAAATGCTGCTTGTTCCAAAAACATTTTTTTTTGCTTCTGCTGGGTCGATTATGCTCTAGAAGGTTCTGGTTAAGCCCCCTATTTCACATTGAGAGGTCATGGCACATAGATCGATTTACTGTAGTTTTTGTTTCTGGTCGGCAGGATTTGCCCTCTTATGCAAGAGCTTTTCATTACGGCCGAGTGAGGGCTCTAATTTTCTCCAAAGTGCCTTCTGGACCTGAATAACTATGTGACTGTTTTTAGTCCGTGAACATGCAATGTTGTATCACGCTGGGCCCAGCTCGTTAGTTTTCTTTGCAGAATGTTAGATTATCACGGATAGTGATTTACAGATCCAAAGTGATAAGAATGAAGTGCAGCTTAAAATGAAGCTGCATCAACTATGGAGAATTGCATTGTGACTCAGTAGATTTCTAAAGAAAATGTGAGTCTTTTGACTGGACCGCGTATTTCCTTCCATGGTTATAACTTTTTAATAAGCTTAACAGTGTTTGGACTGTTTAGTTATCAGTTGCCACTTTTCGGATCATGCAAGCCCGGGGGGTGGGGGGTACTCCCATACATTACCTATACGGGTATGTGCCACCCAACGGGGTCGCGATTTTGAAGCTCCTGATTTAGAACGGGGTATCCATTTCAGAGGCGTTTTCTAGAACGGGGTATAATATTTCGAACGCACGAATCCTCCAGTTTTGTAAGCAGCCATTTGAAATTATTCAAGGACAGATTGCTTTTAAAAATAGGGTTCAATGCGTTAAGAAGCAAACTGTTGCACTCTTTGCACCTTAGAACGGAGTATAAAAAATTGGCCCATTCTAGAACGGGGTATCAGTTTTAGGGCGAATTCTAGAACGGGGTAGCAATTTTAGGGGAAATTTTTTTTAGAACGGGGTGCCAATTTGGAGTCCCGGGCGGTACATACCCACCCAAAAAATACCCAAGTGCCCCCCCCCCCGGGCATGCAAGACCATGGTTTCGGTTCCCCAAGCGAACCTCATCAGTTGCCTGATTGGCTTTGTGCTTAGTTGCTTTTACAAGAGCAACTTTAGTTGTTCTCTTTGGTGGCTAGAACGGTACAGCCATTCCTTCTACTGAGCCTTGACCTTAAGCATTAATACCCACGTGGCGGATCGAGCAGCAATCGGGCCCGACAGACGAGTAAGGTCGGAAGTCGGAATTTAGAAGTCGGAAGTTGGATGTGGCAAGTCGGAAGTCGGAAATCGGAAGTCGGAAGTCAGAAGTCGGAAGACACTCCTCGGCTTTCGTAGTTTGGGGTTTCCCAGAAACGCTGTTTTTTTAAGAAAAAAAATACCAATATCAATACCAAATACCGTATAAACGCGTTGGTCATACGATAGCCTTTGCATTCCTTTGTCTTAGGCCCAGTTCACACGTCGTGCTTCTGCCGTGCCGAACTAAATTCAGGAATTAAGTTCGACAAAAGCACGGCAGAAGCACGGCGTCTGAATCAAACTTTTGAATTAAGTTCGGCAAGCAATCAAGTTCGACAAGCGCTGTCGTGCTACACGGCTCTGGCACGGCAGCGATTCAAACGTCGTGCTTCTGCCGTGCTAAACCAAAATTCATAAATTATACTAATGTATTTTGGCGAGATTGCGTTCCCACGGGGAGTTGGGAGAAGAATTGTTACGAGGCATCAGTAAATCCTGAATTTGTTTCGACTCTGGCACGACGTCTGAAGCAAAGTTGTTTTCCTGCCGTGCTACAGTCGAACCAAATTACAATTAAGTTCGGCACGGCAGAAGCACGACGTCTGAACTGGGCCTTAAGTTAGTTTCATTATCGAGTCACTGTTTTATATTACGAAACTCGGGATCGTTTTTTCTTGTAAGTATTGTGAGATTTTAGTTCAACTTTTTCAGTAGTTAGGAAAATGTTCTTTCTGTATTATCTATAAAACACTATTTTCCGTAATTTTTTAATAAGATGTGAATTATGACTAGTCACTAGGGAGGTGAAATCTGTACCCCGAAAACTAAAAATAAAAGGTTGTTTAGTCTCATGTTTGTCAACGTAGTTTGCGTTTTATTTCTAATCAAGCTTCGTTGACCTAAGACGAACAGCATTTATGATCTGCTAGACTTGTTCAAGACCTGAAGATCACAAAGATTTTAAAACATTCTGATTAGGGTGACAGTATTTTTTTCACGGCCCTGTAGGTCTTATTTTATCACAGAGTAACGTGGGGACTGTGTTCCCAGGACTCCTTCTTTAACAAATACTATACATTACATTACATTGCATTACATTACATTACATTACATTACAGTAATGTTTGTCTTTAAAATACATGTATTATAAAAAGCGCTGTCGAACTCCACTCGAACCCTCATACTCAAGCTGTACATCATGAAAACAACTATTTCCACTACATTTCGTATCAGTGGCATATTCAGCTTTAACAAATGAACCCCTTTTATTACCGCTTAGTTTTGGCTCGTTCCCAGTCATCTCTCGGTCTCCTATTGATATTTACGAGAGAAGCGCAGGGGAGACCGAAGGGTGATGGGAAGGAGCAAAGAGAGCAGACCACTGGTAGATCCTGTGTTTTCTTTTTTTCTTTCTTTTTTTGCTGTTTTTTAGTTTTTATTTGGAATTTTCATTTTACAGAGTACACTCACTGAATCTAACAAGGAAAAGGCAAAAACAAAAAGAAAAGAAATAAAAATAGCAAATAGTCACACCTACTACCTAAACCTAAACTGCAAACCATTATCTAAGTCGATAGAAAATACAACATCTTTACATTTACATACAATATTCAATTGTTAAGACCATTGATTAACTTTTCCCAGTTACTAAGATGGCCCTTTATCCTGGCAATATAAAGTTCAACGTTGGTAAATACGCCTAGTCCTAGAAATGAATCACTGAAGGGAGGGTATACCCTTTAGTAAGCCGTGATTGATTAACTTCTTTAACATCAAATTTATCGAAGATTGTATCCTCTTTTTTTAAGTTCTCAACAATCATATTATCATCTTGCAACCAGGACAAGGCTAGCCTGGGAACAGCAGACGCATTTCCGGTCGTCGCTTCTCTCCCTCCGAAAAATAGAGAAGGGAGAGAAGCGACGACCGGAAATGCGTCTGCCGTTTGCAGGCTAGGACAAGGCATGTTTTAAAAAATCATAGGATCCTTTTCAGGAAAAGAGTAAATGCTCGATGGTTCAACCTCAGTTTGGCAGAAAGCACATTTATCTGATTCAACCACGTCAAAACTAAAAAGTTTCTCGCTTGTATTAAAATTCCGCAATACAGTTCATTTTGAACTGAAATTTCTTAAATTTGGATTCTAACGCTATACGCTGAGAAAGATAGCAACTAAACTCTTTTCCAATCAAGAGTTAATGGCAGATCCGCTTTCAAGATGGCGGATGATTAATGGCGGACTAAGGTGAAATTTGAAACTTGGAAAATAGGCCATTTCGGAAATGGTCGGTCACAATCATGAAAAACAGACACCTTTTCGGTTTGTTTCCTCTTCAGGTCACGTGATGTTCTTTAGGTCCTTTCATAAATTGTACTTACATACTGTATGCGCGTATTTAAAAGAAATTTGAAAGAAACAATTCTCTGGGGTAACATCACGTGGCATGAAATGGGTTAACAAACCATACAAGCTAAAAAGGCCTCATGAAAGGCTCGGAGTTAGGAACTGAAGCTGGACCCTTTTAGGACTTCTAAAATACAGTCAAACCTCTTTAATACGGACACCAAAGGGACAGAACCAAGTGTCCGCTTTACACAGGTGTCCGTATTTTTGAGGTAGGGAACGGTATATATCATTTTTGGCATTACGGGGACCAATCGAACTGTCCGTATAATAGAGGTGTCCGTAAGGAGAGGTTAGACTGTATGCTTTAACGGCTCTTGATTGGAAATGGAATTAAATTTAGAAATTACTACCGCCCAATAAGCCGCGCATTTGATCGCTGCACACATGTCAGAGCAAAATTTACTTCTATAGTATCCTAACAGATCCTAACTTTTTTTGGTCTTCTTATCTAACTTTATTTTTATACTATGCACCATGATCACTTCACAAACCGTTGTTTCAGTTTTCGCGCCGGAGAACGCAACCAGTAAAACTTGGGAAGCTTGGTTTACGTCTCCGAAAGTCCCTCAAACAGCGATTCCACCGGCTTATTGAGTTTCCGTATGATGTGCATGGAAGAACTGAAACTCACTTTCAAAGTAAGTCCGATCGCCACAGTGCGAAGGGCAGTTAGTTTTAAGTTGTTTAAGGATCCTTCAGAATTGAGAACAAAATAAAACACGGCAACGATGCTGCTTTCCAGATACGCAAAAATCATACACACGCTTATGTAGAAAACGTAACGCGTGACAAACTTGTGCTTGTTTAAAATGATTACGAAAAGCAGATTACACATTGTGCAAACGGTGTTGTAAGATGAGAAAGCGACAAAATTGTATGTTGAGGTACATAAAGGGACCACTACAGCTAAAACCAGCAAAGAAATATTTGAAGCAAACCAGTCGCTACGAATAAGTTTTAAAACATTGATAGGAACAACCCAAGTGGAAGTACAAGCTAACCGACTGTACAGTAAGAAACAAAATATCTGAATAGGTGACCACAGAAAACCAATTGCAGCAATCGCAATAAATCCGTTTAAGTCCAAGAGGAATAATTTTTGTTGCAGGTCGGAGAGGAAGGATATTACTCCGGAACCTCTTAAAAACCCGGGGAATGCACTGTGATCAAATCTAAAAAACGAGTAATCTCCACTAGATATTCCAATCGGAAGAGCTGCAATGATAAGTATTAGGTAACAAAAACACAATACCCCTTTGTAAATGAACTTTTTCAAACTTTTGACCCTTCCAATGCGTCGGGGTTGTCTTGTATATTCAGCGTCAAGTAACGGTTGTTCCTCGCAGCTTCTTTGGTTAAAAGAAGAGCCTTGGTAATTTGGGGGCAAAAGTTGACGTGACTCCTCAGTTCCATTTTCACCTTCTTCCATGGTTCGAATTTCACTTTCGTTTTCAGTTGTTCGCTCTTCCGCTTCTCGTTGATCATCTTGACTGTCAGACGTCCAACAAAATTTCCTTGTACGCCTCATCCACTCGAGTGTAATTAAAGGGCCAATAAGAAACCAAAAATATAGTCTCTTTAAGTAAGATTTCATTTTCGTCAGTTCATCTGTATAGGCGAAAATTTCAACATAAGTTAGATCTGCATTCGAAAGTGTTGAATACCATGAATAATCAGGCGGCTGGTCCGTCATGTCCTCAATTGCCACTGGAATTAACACTTCGTTCTTGCTGTTCTTCACTGTCGCTATGGCATAAGATGCGGCAAAATATATCAGCACAGAATAACCTGCATTCTGTACATTTCCGGCAAGCTCTTGTAACGTACATGTAGATTCATTCACAAGGGTGACAAGAGCTATCTTGGGGACTTGAGCCTTTACTTTGCTTACATCGTCCAGCGTTTGACATGCATTTGTGAGGTTCAAATACACAGCGAGACATTTCACTGAATTGCTTGTTGTTGATGCCCGAATAAAGGACTCGACACTGGGGGACTTAAGTTCATCTGTAAGTTCCTTTGAATAAGAGTTATTGCAGGAATAAGGAAGATCCCCTTCCGCCTGCACTGACCACAGAATCAAGGTAAATTCTCCATTCTCAAAAACTCTCGGCATGACATACAGGTCGCCTATAAATAACCATGGAAAACCGATTGAAATAATAAACGATACGACTAGGAAGCAAATGCAGCTGCCGATTACGAAGCACTTTCCCGACATCTTTGTAACGAGAACAAGATGTTGTTTGAGCATTATGTTTAGCCGAGAAGGGTCTTCCGACTTCCGACTTCTGACTTCCAACTTCCGATTTCCGACTTCCGACTTCCAACTTCTGTAGCAATGAAAGGCGGTGGTAGGCCTGCATGACTTTTACACTATGTTAAAATGCTGCTTGTTCCAAAAACATTTTTTTTCCTTCTGCTGGGTCGATTATGCTCTAGAAGGTTCTGGTTAAGCCCCCTATTTCACATTGAGAGGTCATGGCACATAGATCGATTTACTGTAGTTTTTGTTTCTGGTCGGCAGGATTTGCCCTCTTATGCAAGAGCATATTCTTTAAAGCTTTTCATTACGGCCGAGTAAGGGCTCTAATTTTCTCCAAAGTGCCGTCTGGACCTGAATAACTATGTGACTGTTTTTAGTCCGTGAACATGCAATGTTGTATCACGCTGGGCCCAGCTCGTTAGTTTTCTTTGCAGAATGTTAGATTATCACGGATAGTGATTTACAGATCCAAAGTGATAAGAATGAAGTGCAGCTTAAAATGAAGCTGCATCAACTATGGAGAATTGCATTGTGACTCAGTAGATTTCTAAAGAAAATGTGAGTCTTTTGACTGGACCGCGTATTTCCTTCCATGCTTATAACTTTTTAATATTAAAGCTTAACAGTGTTTGGACTGTTTAGTTATCAGTTGCCACTTTGCGGATCATGCAAGCCGGGGGTACTCCAATACATTACCTATACGGGTATGTGCCACCCAACGGGGTCGCGATTTTGAAGCTCCTGATTTAGAACGGGGTATCCATTTCAGAGGCGTTTTCTAGAACGGGGTATAATATTTCGAACGCACGAATGCTCCAGTTTTGTAAGCAGCCATTTGAAATTATTCAAGGACAGATTGCTTTTAAAAAAACGGTTCAATGCGTTAAGAAGCAAACTGTTGTACTCTTTGCACTTTAGAACGGAGTATAAAAAATTGGCCCATTTCTAGAACGAGGTATCAGTTTTAGGGCGAATTCTAGAACGGGGTATCAATTTTAGGGGAAATTTTTTTTAGAACGGGGTGCCAATTTGGAGTCCCGGGCGGTACATACCCACCCAAAAAATACCCAAGTGCCCCCCCGGGCATGCAAGACCATGGTTTCGGTTCCCCAAGCGAACCTCATCAGTTGCCTGATTGGCTTTGTGCTTAGTTGCTTTTACAAGAGCAACTTTAGTTGTTCTCTTTGGTGGCTAGAACGGTACAGCCGTTCCTTCTACTGAGCCTTGACCTTAAGCATTAATACCCACGTGGCGGATCGAGCAGCAATTGGGCCCGACAGACGAGTCAAGTCGGAAGTCGGAATTTAGAAGTCGGAAGTTGGAAGTGGCAAGTCGGAAGTCGGAAATCGGAAGTCGGAAGTCAGAAGTCGGAAGACACTCCTCGGCTTTCGTAGTTTGGGGTTTCCCAGAAACACTTTTTTTTAAAAAAATACCAATATCAATACCAAATACCGTACAAACGCGTTAGTCATACGATAGCCTTTGCATTCGTTTGTCTTAGGCCCAGTTCAGACGTCGTGCTTCTGCCGTGCCGAACTAAATTCAGGAATTAAGTTCGACAAAAGCACGGCAGCTGTCGTGCTACACGGCTCTGGCACTGCAGCGATTCAAGCGTCGTGCTTCTGCCGCGCTAAAACAAAATTCATAAATTATATTAATGTATTTTGGCGAGATTGCGTTCCCACGGGGAGTTGGGAGAAGAACTGTTACGAGGCATCAGTAAATCCTGAATTTGTTTCAACTCTGGGACGACGTTTCCCTGCTAGCAGAGGTCTCTCACGACGAGGCAATAATGAGACCTCTGCTAGCAGGGAAGCACGACGTCTGAATCAAAGTTGTTTTTCTGCCGTGCTACAGTCGAACAAAATTACAATTAAGTTCGGCACGGCAGAAGCACGGCGTCTAAACTGGGCCTTATAGTTTCATGATCGAGTCACTGTTTTATATCACGAAACTCGGGATCGTTTTTTCTTGTAAGTATTGTGAGATTTTAGTTCAACTTTTTCTGTAGTTAGCAAAATGTTCCTTCTGTATTATCTATAAAACACTATTTTCCGTAATTTTTAAATAAGATGTGAATTATGACTAGTCACTAGGGAGGTGAAATCTGTACCCCGAAAACTAAAAATAAAAGGTTGTTTAGCCTCAAGTTTGTCACCGTACTTTGCGTTTTATTTCTAATCAAATTTCGTTGACCTAAGACGAACAGCATTTATGATCTGCTAGACTTGTTCAAGACCTGAAGATCACAAAGATTTAAAAACATTCTGATTAGGGGGACAGGCTGAAAAGTATTTTTCACGGCCCTGCAGTTCTTATTTTATCACAGAGTAACATGGGGACTGTGTTCCCGGGGCTCCTTCTTTAACAAATACTATACATTACATTACATTACATTACAGTAATGTTTGTCTTCAAAATACACGTATTATAAAAAGCGCTGTGGAACTCCACTCGAACCCTCATACTCACGCTGTACATCATGAAAACAACTATCCACTACATTTCGTATCAGTGGCACTTTCAGCCTTAACAAATGAACCCCTTTTATTACTGCTTAGTTTTGGCTCGTTCCCAGTCATCTCTCGGTCTCCTATTGATATTTACGAGAGAAGCGCAGGGGAGAGCGAAGGGTGATAGGAAGGAGGAAAGAGAGCAGACCACTGGTAGATCCTGTGTTTTCTTTTTTTCTTTCTTTTTTTGCTGTTTTTTAGTTTTTATTTGGAATTTTCATTTTACAGAGTACACTCACTGAATCTAACAAGGAAAAGGCAAAAACAAAAATGAAAGAAATAAAAATAGCAAATAGTCACACCTACTACCTAAACCTAAACTGCCAACCATTATCTAAGTCGATAGAAAATACAACATCTTTACATTTACATAAAATGTTCAATTGTTAAGACGATTGATTAACTTTTCCCAGTTACTAAGATGGCCCTTTTTCCTGGCAATATAAAGTTCAACGTTGGTAAATACGCCTAGCCCTGGAAATGAATCACCGAAGGGAAGGTATACCCTTTTGACATTTTGTTACTAAAGATCTTAATACTTCCCAAGTAGTAACCTGTGATTGATTAACTTCTTTAACATCAAATTTATCGAAGATTGTATCTTTTTTTTTTTTTAAGTTCTCAACAATCATATTATCATCTTGCAACCAGGACAAGGCTAGCCTGCGAACAGCAGACGCATTTTCGGTCGTCGCTTCTCTCCCTCCGAAAAATAGAGAAGGGGGAGAAGCGACGACTGGAAATGCGTCTGCCGTTTGCAGGCTAGGACAAGGCATGTTTTCAAAAATCACAGGATCCTTTTCAGGAAAAGAGTAAATGCTCGATGGTTCAACCTCAGTTTGGCATAAAGCAATTTATCTGATTCAACCACGTCAAAACTAAAAAGTTTCTCGTTTGTATTAAAATTCAATACAGTCACTGTATTGAACTGAAATTCCTTAAGTTTGGATTCTAACGCTATACGCTGGGAAAGATAGCAAGTAAACTCTTTTCCAATCAACAGTTAATGGCAGATCCCCTTTCAAGATGGCGGATGATTAATGGCGGACTAAGGTGAAATTTAAAACTCGGAAAATAGGCCATTTCGGAAAATGGTCGGTCACAATCATGGAAAACAGACACCTTTTCGGTTTGTATGTTTTGTTTCCTCTTCAGGTCACGTGGTGATGTTCTTTAGGTCCTTTCATAAATTGTGCTTACATATGCGCGAATTTAAAAGAAATTTGAAAGAAACAATTCTCTGGGGTAACATCACGTGCGATGAAATGGGTTAACAAACCATACAAGCTAAAAAGGCCTATTGAAAGGCTCGGAGTTAGGAACTGAAGCTAGACCCTTCTAGGACTTCTAAAATACAGTCAAACCTCTTTAATACGGACACCAAAGGGACAGTACCAAGTGTCCGCTTTACAGAGGTGTCCGTACTATAGATGTAGGGAACGGTATATATCATTTTTGGCATTACGGGGAACAAACGAACTGTCCGTATAATAGAGGCGTCGGTAAGGAGAAGTTAGACTGTATGCTTCAACGGCTCTTGATTGGAAATCGACTGATTATATTTAGAAATTACAACCGCCCAATAAGCCGGCGCATTTGATCGCTGTACACATGTCAGAGCAAAATTTACTTTTATAGTATCCTAACTTTCTTTGGCTCTTCTTATCTAACTTTATGTCTATACTAAGTACTATGATCACTTTACAAACCGTTGTTTCAGTTTTTAGTAAAACCATAGACGCCGGAGAACGCAACCACTAAAACTTGGGAAGGTTGGTTTACTTCTCCGAAAGTCCCTCAAACAGCGATTCCACCGGCTTATTGAGTTTCCGTATAATGTGCATGGAAGAACTGAAACTCACTTTCAAAGTAAGTCCGATCGCCAAAGTGCGAAGGGCAGTTAGTTTTAAGTTGTTTAAGGATCCTTCAGAATTGAGAACAAAATAAAACACGGCAACTATGCTGCTTTCCAGATACGCAAAAATCATGCACACGCTAAAGTAGAAAACGTAACACGTGACAAAGTTGTGCTTGTTTAAAATGATTACGAAAAGCAGATTACACATTGTGCAAGCGGCGTTGTAAGATGCGAAAAAGACAAAATTAACCTGAAAATTGTATGTTGAGGTACATAAAGGAACCACTACAGCTAAAACCAGCAAAGAAATATTTGAAGCAAACCAGTCGCTACGAATAAGTTTTAAAAAATTGATAGGAACAACCCAAGTGGTAGTACAAGCTAACCGACTGTACAGTAAGAAACAAAATATCTGAATAGGCGACCACGGCATAACAATAAGAAGAAACGCAATAGATTGGTATAAGTCCATGTCAGGGTACCATTTGTGTATCAGGTCGGAGAGGAAGGATATTATTCCGGAATCTATTTCATCAAATCTAAAAAACGAGTAACCTCCACTAGATATTCCAATCGGAAGAGCT